AAATTATGTCGTTATAAAATTTTATTAACATAATTCGGGAAAATTATATCGCATTATAACATATTCTCAACATATTTTCATACATTTTTGCGGCAAATTTGTTTTCGACCACTTTTCACAAATTTGTCATGTTTTTTCATGTTTTTTCACAACATTTCACGATTTATCATGTATTTTCGTGTTTTTTCTTCATGTTTTGTAATGTTTTTTCATGTTTTTCTGCGATTTTTTAAAACACACAAGAACAAAGAACGAGAACGATACAAACACTCAAACACACACTTTTTGTTTCTTCTGACTTTTGTATATGACTTTGACACTTGACTTGTACTAAAAACCGAGCTAAAAACTAAACACATACACATACAGCAAACAGCATGCAACAAATGACAACTCACGACTCACGAAGAAAATGAAAAAGAAGAAGAAGAAGAAAGACGCTTCGGGAACATTCTATTGCGTCGCAATAAATGCTGTCAAGTTTGCTTATTGTGAAGTGTGCGGTTGTTCGTTGCTCATTTTGTTGCAATTGATTCTCTATTGAACATTGAAGGATTGAAGCAAAAGAACAAAACAGTTTTCGTTTGTTTGTTGTTTGTTCTTTTTTCAACTTGAAACAGCGCGAAATTTTTTTTTCTTTGTTGTTCGTTTTACTTTTTGTTCTGTGATTTGTGTTGAATTTACTGCGCACATTGACATTGGCACATTCCAATCGCAATAAAAAAAATGAATCGACGAGAACATCAACAATGGCAAATTTCTGAAAATGCTTTTGCACGTGCCAGTGGAACTTCGAGTCAAATTTCAAAACGAAAGCGCATCGGTGATGGATCAACGCCCAAAAGAGCGAAAATAATCAAAACAGTAGAATCGCAATCGGCGCCCACCCAAACTCCAACCACAAATTCGTCATCATCGTCGTCCACATCCACAGCCAGCACCGCCACCGCCACCACCACTGCCACCGCTACAACCACCACCACTAGACCCGTTGTCAGTCATAACTCAAACACAATTCCATCGGCTACGACAACTGGTCCTGTTCGAAGTGCGTCTGCACCTGGAAATGGAAATGTTGTCCGTGTGAACAATGACAGTAATGTGAACGACGAGTCGGCTGAAATTAAGCGCATATATATATGAAATATGAAATTTAAATTGGATTCGGAATCGGAATCCGAACATCGAACAAACAAATATGACTCTTTTCCGTTCTCGTTTGTTATTTCTTTCTCTTTTTTTTTTTGAAATTGCTATTGTTATTGTTGTTACTGTTGAATTGAAAAAATGAAAAATTAAATTGAATTTTGACCGTGGACGAAAAGAAAAAAATGTAACATTTCACTCACTCATTTATATATATAGAAATGACGAATGACATGAAAAAAAAACACGAAAAAAACATGAAAATTTTCAATAAAACCGCTGGAAACCCCATTTTCCGTCGAAATGTGCGTTATGTTTTGAAAATATGTTAGTACCGGTCAAACATATTAATAACCTGGATTATGTTATGTTTTTCGAACATAATATAATTCGCATCGAAATTATGTTAGTACTTCAAACATAATATAATTTTGCGTCGAAATTATGTTAGTGTTTCAAACATAACAAAATTTTCACCCGAAATTATGTTAATAATTATAACATAATTGAAATTTTGCCCAAAATTTATGTTAATAACTATATTAATAACCATGTTTTCCCGTTATGTTAATAACATAACATATAATATTTTAGTATCCTTAAATCTGTATGGCAATGGTATGAAATATCTGAAAAAAAGTGAAATTTCAATAATAACCATTGAATTTTTTAAATGAGATGAGGGGTGAAATGAATATTGTTCGGTGTAAGACAACCTCTTACGAGTTTCGTAAATGATATCACTTTTTCGCCGTCGTCGTCGTCGTCATCATCTAAATGTTCTTTATAATTATAGTTATGATGTCTCACTCGCTAATACATTAACGTAAAATAAAGCATTCCATCAAATATTCATGTATTTGATTTGGGATCATATCTCTATGCTGGAGTAGATAGCGAATGCTCCCGTGAGTGACACGAAAATACATCACTACTGAACTTGTACATATATGTCACGCCATCGGTACTTTTAATCGATATAGAGTCCAATGAACAAAGCCTTGAAGCTCACACTCATTTATTTTATTTTGTTGGTGTGTAATTTTATCTATCGTTAAAGTTCGATTGATGGCGGCGACGACAACAACGACGCATCATACACCTGTTTCCATTTTGTCCAAACTTCATATAGTAAAACTTACAAAGTTGATTCGTGCCATTCGAATTTTCCCAGTTGTCTTCCAATTAATGGTTGATGATACGAGAAAAATTAGCGAACACAAGGCAAGTATTGACCCTATACAGATTGGGATGAATGTTAGCCAAAAATAATTTGACGTATAATACAACAACAATCCTGATGACAAACTTCCAAGAAACTGTAAATAAAAACCAGAATTAAAAAAATTATTCATTTTTTTTTTTGGAATACCATTCACGTCTGATCACACACAAACTTACGATATGGCAAAATTTCAATCGTGCTGGAAACGATTTCAAATAATTTTTATTCAATTCCAATTGGATATCCCGCTCACACTCGTTCGTCAACATGATTTCAAACTTGATCGGATCAATTTTGACTGGATTTATTATTCTTGCTATTGGAATGCGCTTGAATCGAAACGTCTATTTTTAATTTATAGGCACTTTGTGTATCAACAATTTAGGTAGATTAATTTATTTCACTACTTCTAATGATTCAATATCGAACCATTGCATAATGGAATCACAACTTGAGGAAGATGTTTGGCTTGGACCTATTTTTAAAAGAGACCTAATAAAGAAGAAAAACAGCGTCAAAAATAGTAATTAAATTTAGAATGGAAAAAATATTAACTGTAACTGAATTCGAATGCCAGTTCGCTAAACCAAACTCAATTAAATAAATAAATGTATAAATTGGATGGAATAGTTATAATATATTCACATTATTGCATACGTTTGTACACCAATTCTATGTCTCGAATCAAATAATTTGATTTATTTTACACAGATTCACGAAATTAAACTAAATGGAAATGACAACAATTTAATGCAATGCATAAGGAGAGGCAAAGTTTGGAAATACCTGAACTGGCAACCAAATGTCACAATTAACGTATGTACAGTACACTGCAGATTATTATTTACTTGATTTGTTGTTGTTCTGCTTCGTTTTTTGTTTTATTTCATCGGTTTGGTTGTTATTTCATTCCGATATTGGAGTTGAAGTAGAAAAAGGAGCACACCGTTGCAGAGAAAATACCCACAATGCACTGCCAATCCGTATACGGATAACATATATGTTGCTGTTCGAACTTATCGCGTGAAATCAATTGAATCGGATGGAAACAATAAAGGACAAAAAAAGCACAGCGAATCAAATGAAAAAAAACAGAACAAAAAATCAACGTAAAAAAACTCAATATAATAATTAAATTCCGTTCATTAAACAAAATCGCGTTCGTTTTGAAAGTGTACTGGTATATATGGTTGGTTCTCTCTCTCTCTCAAAACGTTTGTCAAATTCTTTCGATTTGGCCGTCAAAGCACCAAGAATAGCACATTATTAGTAAATTTTCACTGCGTTCGTATAGTCGTCTACGGCTGTACAACAACTGAACCGATTATTATTTAGCCGCTTTGTACACCAAGTATACGACTTTGCGATGGCGTTGTGTGTGCACAATGGGCTAACGACGACAACAACAACAACAAAAAACAAGGAGACGACAACAACTCAATCGCAGCCACATACTCGGTCGGTGCGTGTCTGTCTGTATTCGTGTGTACCGTATGCGATGGAGGCATGGGCAACTTCTTATAGAGTACACATATTACATTTCGTTTAGTATTTTATCGGTGTATTAATGTGGCAGCATGCCATTCAATCAAACAAGCAAGCCTCATACAAAAAATAAACACAACAACGAGCGCTATTGCCGTGTGTTGTTTCCGTGACACATATTATTTTTGCTGTTTGTTTTCAAACCACACAAACTTAACTACTATACATATATGCTTCGAAGTATGTTTTGTTTCACTTTCAGAACCGAATTCCGTATTCACGGTGAACAAGAAGTTGAATGAAATCGAAAGCGAATCTAAAAGGAAGGAACACGTTTGTATAGCATACGATATGATTTTACCTAAATATATCTGTTGGACGAATCAAAGTAATGATTATCATTATCATTAATGATTCTAGGCCGTTTCACCCATAATAATCATCGGTAACAAATTAAATAAAGGAATGATAGCTTAGTTAAAACTTCGGACGAATTGTTTATTCGATTGCCCATGCGCAGATTTCAAACCAAGATAAACACTACATTATCAACAAATACTGCTACAATATAAATTGAAACTACACTCATTTTCTGTTTATAAGTCATGTCGACTGATTTTTTGTTATATTTAAAGGCGACCACGCCAGAGCACATATACTGTCGGTCGAGGAAGAAGGTATCCGATTTATTTCGGCTTGGATAGTCGATAGATTTTAAAACTAAGATTTTTGGAAATTGCGTCAAATAGCCATTCCCGATGTGCCGTCCAAATGATTAAAAGTGGTTTTGGTGACGCGATGAACGCAACAAATTTTATCGCAAGTATTTTTTTTAGACATTTATCGATCGCATTGCCAAAGATCGTATCGTCACATATAGTAGTGTATCGTTAATTATCGGTTGCTGTAGATAAACAAATGACGCATCGTTTACATAGGGTTTGTTGTGCATTACTATTGAGGTCACGCCTAAAGTTAGGCAAACGCTCAACGTGTTTGCCTTCGTTCTATTCGAATTCTTATCTTTTGATTTTTTTTCGGTTTCTCATGCTACCCCAATAACTATTATCAAGTATCAATAATAGAACAATGAATAAGTAAACAGTTTATTGTTGAAAATATTCGAATTTGGAAATATTGTGTGAATCGACTTATTTTTTTATTTTTCTTTACATACAGTCAATAAATCAATATGTTTCCATATTCAATTATATGACATAATCGTAATCTTGGAAATAGCAGTCGCAACGATTATACCTTTACATTGTTCTTCACATACCGTACTCGATTACTGAGTTGCAAGGAAGCAAAAAATCTATTCATTGAAATTTAAATGTAAAAGAGCACGACAATGTATGTTGATTCCGCAAAGCCTATTACGAAACTGTTCGCACAACCGTCAAGCGATATATGTATTGACATTACTATGTTTTCACAGCACACAGAGTAATCTGCATCTATTTCAATCTAAACTATATGATTGCTTGCTAACACGAACAATAAAATAAAGAATATATGGTTAATTCCCTTTAGAAATTATGAAAAAGTTCCAAATTTTCTTCAATTTCTCAAAAATAAAATGAATAAAAGTCTTCATGTTCACTCAAATCCACTCTTTATTAGCAACAGTTTTTTTTCATAACAAAAATTACAACACACTGCCAAACAAAAATATTGTTAAATTACTGCATGATCCAGTTCCGTTTGCGATCATTTACGGTAATCGCGAAAAGCGAGCACAGTGCTAGCCAAATATAGCAGAGAATTGACGAAACACAAAATCTGCAAGAACATAAAAGAAAAATCAGAGAACCGTTGTACTACTATGGAATCTATTCTGATTTCAGATAGTTTACCGTTGCTGCTAAAAACCACTTGTAGAATTTGAGAAGATACTCGAGGTTATGAATTTTAGCATAGAGCAAAATAGAAGCAATGAGAAGCAGAATGGCCGCAACGAGATGATAAAGGAATTCCTGTTGAATTTAATATAGTATCCATATTGAGCTTCTATACATTTCATTATGTAGAAGGAAAATAAATAAAAAAAAGTAACTTACATAGAGCGTTTTCGAAATTAAGCCACCCGTAGACAACGAAAAAATGCAGGAGAGCAACAGAATTGCTGTAAGAATGGAGAATACTGTTGCTGCTAACAGCAAAAGTAAAACGGGAACCAGGTGCGGAAAATTCGGATAGTTTTGATAATATTGAATACCATTGCGATAGGTAAAATAGGGATAGTCATCAAAATTTTTCAAAAGAAGACCAACTGCAACACCGCCTAGAATCTACAAAAAGAAAACCTTATTAATCCCTCAATGCATTCGTCGCAATGATCTGTTGAATAATTACAAGTTGAAGGAGTTTCAAAAGCCCATTTGATGTTTTTAGGTATCCTGTGTTGATGACGATAGTACTTGGGTTTGAAGTTACAACTGTTCGTGTGACCGTTACATTTGCATGCGACATAATACCCGTTTATTCTGTAAATATGGAGATAACACGATTCAATTATTGCTCTTCTCTAATCGTGTTATTTTGAATTCTGAATGGTCATCCCAATGATGCCAAAAAGCATTTTTTTCATAAGCATTTTTACCAACAAGCATTATCATTGACAATTTCAATACTTACATCAAAAGCAAGCATACACGGCATTTTGTTATCGCCTCAAAAAAGCACATGCAAATGAACACACATTTTGTCTAGTACTCTGTTAAAATGGAATGTACAACGATCATTGTATCATCATCAGCTTACAATGATAGGTAGAAAAAATATAATTGACACCGTATAAAATTGTTTGTTCACATTAAAGCACATTTATTGTAAAAAAAAAAGTACAATTACAGAAATATCATTAAATTTGGACACGTAGAAACAGAGGGGAGGTAAAGAGATTGAACACACCTAGAAACTGTTAATACTCAGAAAATTCCTTAATATTTGGCTTAACTTAAGGATACTATATTGTTCTGTGCTTTTACATTTGAATGTGTTCCGTTTAAATGCCACGGTATGTTTTTCTGGCGATAACAGCGCCCCAAATGTATAGCAGTGTGTTGAGAATACCTAGAAAATGAAACAATCTGTTTTAAAAGTTTCCTTTTGGGCTGGCTTAACCCTTACCTAGAGCTCCAGCTGCAGTGTAGGCATTGTAAAAGTTATAATTTTTGTAGTCTTGCAGTTTAACGAGAAAGTATACAGATGCAATCAACAGTAAAATGGCAGCAACTGTATGGTAAATTAGTTCCTAATATAATCAAAATAAAAATGAAATCAATTAACAATTTATGCAGTCAATAAATAGATTAATTTGTCATACGTAGATTGTCTTAGAGATGATCCCGCCGGTTGAGAGCGAGAAAAGACATGACACAAGTAGACAGAATGTGCCAATCAAAAATGTTGTGGCCATCAACAAGAAGAAGAGATCAGGCAATCCATATGTATGATAGTTGCGATTGTAGTGGTATGCAATGATTCCCACGCAGACGGCGCCAACGATCTATCATTCAAATTTCGAAGGAAAAAAATTAGATAACAAATATTTTTTTTCGATATGAGTGATTCAATTACCAATTGGGAAAATTTCAATAAACCGGGCAACGTCTTCAAATATCCCGTGTTTAGGATCAGTGTGGATGTAGTATTTGAACTGGTAACCGTTCGTGTGATTGTAACTGAGTGCGACATTTTTCAAGCGATATTTTTTAAATTCCTGCAAATCTAAAAATTACAAATAAATTGCATTAAATCGAAAAAAAACTAATACCCAACATAACACAAAAAATAGATTTTTATATTTAAAAAATGAAACACTCAAATATTTTCAAGCAAATTTAAAAGGAGAGTATACATTTATATGCACACATATTTATTGATTTTGCAATCATTTATGCTCTTGGAGTAAACAAAAGTTTTATTTTTTGCTCAAATGGAACATTCTAAAGATATACATATATGAATAGCGATGTAACTGTACTTCTAACTTATAGCTTAATACTGCTCATAAATTGAGTTGGTTATTTGCATTTTGTTTAATATTTAGAATAGAATTTGTGATATTGAATATTATTTTGTGTAGAATTTTTTTTTTTTTGTAAATAATTATTTAAAATTAGAAGTTGTCTTTCTTTCGATTTCTGCTCTATCATATTGACATCATCATTTAGATGCCTTTGTATGAGCGACGGGCGTAGAATGTGCTGAGAACATATAGCAATCCATTTATAAGTCCAATGACCTAAAACGACACAAATGGTGATGATCATAAATACTCTAACTCTTCAGATATTTTTAGCGAAAATAATTGTGTATGCTTACGCCAGCAGCCAGGAGTTCTTTGTAAATGGGACGATATATGTGAGATACGCTGCGGTCATTGATAACAACGATTAGAGCAACCGAGGCAATTATGATCAAAATGGCCGCGACACAATGATAGATCAATTCCTAACAATGAATGATAAAACACGCATTTTTCTTTATCCACTGTTTGCTTGTGTAAAAAAATCTACTAAACATGTGTGTGTTACTTACGTAGATTGTCTTGGAAATAATTCCACCTGTTGACCAAGAGATCAAACACGACACCAACAGAATGGTTGTGCATATCAAGAATGTAACGCACATCAAATAATAAAACAGTTCAGATGTAGTCGATATGTGACGATCATTGAAATGATACGCAATGATGCCCACGCAAATGCAACCTAAAATCTGTTCAAGACGACGATTTTAATGAAATTATTCGTCTAATTTTGGAAACAATTGAATGATTCTTCAATGGATATAAAAAAAAAGGTATTTACAAATTGCGAAACTTTTAATAAACCGGGAATCGTCGATAAATAGCCACTATTTATAATGAGGGCCGAAGAATTGGTAGTTTCGGTTGTCGTAATTCGAACTGTTTGCTGTTGTGACATCTTGATTGGTTTATGCTTTGGGTTTCAAATATTTTCTTTTGTAATTGTACACTTGACTTGATATGGATGGCAGCAACTGCAAGAAAAATATTCAAATTCAAGCACTCATCATCAACACGATAAACTTGAGTATGGTAGAAAACTGATGGGTGAGTTCTAAGTTCAAATGGCAATAAATATGTCGCCAGTGGAAATTTGTTTTTCCTTTAACAGTGTTTTAGTTTAGAAGAAAACACAAAACATTTGTTCAATGTGATATGTGGTGAGAAAAAAAAGAAGAAAAGATACCCCACCATATAAGTGAATGATAGCTATGATAATGTGAAAGATCGTGCTTGAAATTAAAATTTTAGAATAATAACAAAATAATTATCAAGAAATTTTATTGATTGAATTGAAAATGAGCAGATTTCAAGTAAAACTGGAAAAATGTTCACATTTGTATCAATCTACGGAAATGACGGTGTGCAGAAAAAAACCTGCGTGTATTTTAACTAAAGTCTGTGCGTATAATTATGAAAGATAAACGAAAAACGATGTTGAGCAAAACACATTTTTTTTTATTTTTCGAGACACGTATGATTATTTTCTATTGTTCAACGATAGGTCACAACGCGAACGAATCCAAAGATTCACTAACTTCATTCGAAATTCAATACGTAAAGCAAACCTTAGATGGGCTGAATGACATAAACAATGTATCATTAAAATTCAGAAACTAATATCATATATCCAATGAATTTGTAACAAAACGCTCTACGAAACCAAAATGACTTGAAATCAGTTGAAAATCATTTATATTAAGTTTACGTCATAATGGAATTACATATGTGTAATATGAATTCAGCGACAAATCATTCAGATCAATTCAATCAAATGACATAAGACAATAGAAACGGTAGTAATTATTCAAATTTGTTGAATAGAAGACGCATTTTTTGTGACAAAAATTTACTGACATTTACAAAACATTCCGCATTTTAATTCGTCGTTGTTGTTGTTGTTTTTGACGCTGTTTTTACTGGCCGACTGTTGATATCAAACTGAAAAAGCCTTTGCTTTGTTTTTAGTTGTGGTGTAGAACCTGTTCGACCAAATCGACAACATAAAGATTATCTCATGCTTTGGGAATGCGTGGAGACGAAAACAAAATGATGACGACATCACAGTCGAGTGTTTCGAGTGACAGCCGCAGAGTAGTAATAGTAGCAACGGCTGGACTGAGCAGCGGAATGCGACAACAATCGGTGATGTAATCGCTTCGAGTTTATTTATTCGTGAAAACAACAAAATAATACCCATTGAATTTGCATAGCGTACACACAACAGGCACGGAACGAAGCTAAACAGCGCGAATTTGAAACACCACGATTCAGCGTTCTCAGAAAAGATCCAATATATATGATGTCATAACACGAATATATGAACATGCAACTTGATGGATGGGATGGCATATGGTCTGGTTGTCCAGTGAAAGTAGAGCCTACTGGTTATATTCTTTCATGGCATCAATTGATTGTATAGACTGTTGTCTGTCAACATACAAGCCTGAAAATTTCAATAGCCATCGTTCTGAATGATGTGGTTATGGTGTTTACCATTAAATTTACCGAGTCGCAATTGGAACAAAGGAACCAACCAAGGACAGAGCAATGTTAAGTGTGGCATGGTGTGATAGTGTGGACACCTCGTTTTGAATCACGTACAAATGGAATTGAATGAATCAAGAACAGGTTATTTTTATCAATAAAACATTAGCCTTACATATTTTAACGAGATGTTTGATCAAAACGCAGAAAATATGTAATTTAAAACTAAGAAGTTTCGTTGGTTTTCTGCGAAAGATTGCAACTGCTCGATTTAGATTATTGTTTATTCACTTCATTGCTTTTATTCTCAACAAATGATTGCAGTCTATTTCGGAGAGATTTGGGTCGAGACCAATCCTAGGGGAATTTAACTCTTACGAGTTCAGCATGTTTTTTGCCAGTTTGCTTGATTCGCGGGAGTTCGACGCGTTCCTTGTACGTACTGACGCGCACGGTCACAAGTTTACACAAGTTTGTTTATGGTTTTGCGCGTTTTTCAAGTTGTTATTTGACAATTAAAACGCGTTTCAAGCTAAAAATCGGTTGTTTACGTGTATAAAGATTTTTCACATCCTTTCCAAAAGTTCAAAGATTTTTATAATTATAAAATGGACAAAGGAAATATTTTTAAAGAGCTGGAGAAAGTGTTGAAGAAAAAGTTAATCCAGATATAATAAATGGAACGACTGATGTGTGCGCGTCGTCCAGCTACAAGTTTGCACACGAACTCGCGCGCGTTCGCGCATATTGTTTTAATACGGAACTTGTCAACTGAGTGGAATCATGCAAGTTCTCTGGTGAATGTAACAATTTCGTGCGCGTTTATATCATTTTTTTACAAGTTTTCACGTAGTTAAATCCCCCTAGGACCAATCATGGGAATTTGAGATTCTAAACATCGGAACCGAATGAATTTTAGGCGTGTGGCGCAACTGTGAGCATTCGTAAACAATTGATTTGCATTTGACTTACATCTATCTATAAGTCTATTCATTCGAATGACGACGCGCTTCATATTCTCTCTGCTTGCTGTTCTGCTACACGTATGTTTTTTTTATTTAAAAATAGGCAATGTGATCATCGGAATATTTCTCAACAGAGAATAGCACAAAATCTGTGTCTTGTGTCATTCTTTCGTTAGAACTCTACTCAACTTATTTTGGACTCACAACTAACAAATGGTTTTTTTCAAAGCAATAACAAGTTGCTTCAAGCGACCGAGACATTTTTCATTGAAGCTATTCAAAGCCAAGTGTTTATAACATTTTAGGCGTTGGCTTGTTTCTTTCAGCTCAAAAACATTTAGAAAACAACGCACAAAAAGTGCTACAAGTTTCATATCCAATTTGGGTGATTTGTCATTTAGAAAAACATTGAAAACATGCAGATCGTGCGACTAGTTCACATGGAACTCATTTTAAAAGATTTGTGCTTTTGCATTTGAAATACATAAGAGTTAAAATAGCTTGCATCGGAGCAAAAACATCGAACTATACAAACTGATGAAACTGAAAGCAAAAATAGAATGCCCAATAACAAACAAAATAGACTACGGGTGTGCTCTTTTTTAGAGTTGATTGAATCTAAATAAAACTATCTTCCATGCTTGAAACCTACTATTTTTGTATGCTTTATCGAGTTTACGCATATTTTTAAACCGAGATCACCACAACTCTCTACCAAGTATTCTTCACTTCTTAGCACTAGTCATTTTGAAAACTATAGCTGTTTTTCTTTTCAACATTTCCAATTATTTGTGTGGGAGTCAAAAGAGTTGCATAATTTTCAATCTATTTTAAAAAATATTCATCGAGCTGCAGTATTTTTTATAAAGCTTACTCATGTTCATTTTCAAATGAGTTTCTTTTTCTCTACGAATATTTAAATTTGCAATTGCCATTCTTCGCTGGCAAAAATGGAATTAAACTAGTTAAAATCAATTGCTAAATCAAAACAATACATTTTTTTTGTTTCAGTTATTTCTATTCATGCAATAAACCAAAATGAGCAGTGTTAAAAACCATGTTTTGAACAAAATGATTACATTTTCAAGAAAAAAAATCAGAGTCAGTAAAAATATGTAAAGAGCAAAACAAACAAAAAAACAAATAACAATTCTTCTTTTTGAACCCACCTAGAATTGATTTTATTGAATCGAAAAGATGAGGGCGATTTTATTTGCAGAACACGCACTTCACAAGAATAAAAAAAAACAAATTTCCAAACACTTTCAAAAGGGGGGAATTATTGCTGAGAAAAAATTCACGACGTCCGAGAATTAAATACTTGTACTGAGCACGGCTGAGTCTATACTAAATATCCCAATGGACAAACCAAAATAGCTACACCACCGCTTTGCTTTTGTGTATTTTCTGTTTCTTTTTTCAGTTGTGATTCAAAGCCCCGATAACATCAGCGTATTTTTCACAACTACACGCATACGACTATGTTTGTGTGTTTGAATAAGTGCTCATAGCGATGAGATTTATGACACCGACGACCGCGAATGGAGAAGAAGAATGAGAAATAAAAAAAGGCGCGCATATTGGTAAGAATCGCTTGAATAGTATGGATGAAAAACATAAATATAAACAACGCAATTTTTTGCGTCGAATATTTACCAGTGGAATGACTCAATATATTTGGCAGAATAAAAAAACTCTAAGCCGAATGTATTGAATGTGATGAATGTGATGAATGAAACATACACACACACACGCTCTCACTGTACGTGTACATGGCATGTTGTCGCTTTCCACTTTCCATTTCAAATCACTTTTATTTGAAATTTGAGAATCATTCAAATTGGTGTGAACATAGAACGATTTCAAAAATAAATAGCAAGCATTTTTTTTATCGACCGAAAGAACTTTTCGTCTTATAAATATCGCTTCTCGTATTCTTTGCTGTAGCGAAAATGGATCGGATGGAAAAATGGAATGTATTTTGATTTTTTAGCGTACACGATAGTGAATGGTTTCACAAAAATGAACAGAATCGTCGATGAAGTCATCGACACCCAAAAAATGCTTCCGTGGAAACTTATTGAAATCCAGAATTTGGATCGTGTTGAGCTGAATATTTTTGAATAGTTTCTATCTTTTGGGCTCAAAATAGAAACAACATAATTAATTGTACGGAATGCGTGTGTGCGTGTGTGCGTGTGTGAATGTGGATTGTTTGAACCCCATAAATATTTACGGAATATACGGCGGTGACGTGATACGATGTTCGTATTGAATTGTGCCTAAGTTCTTGTAATCCTTGAATTAATTTGCCGCACACGACTCAAGTCATCAACGCTAATTGTAATTATTTGATTCGATGAGCCAAGCCCATTGAAAATCGTGAGGAAAAAAGAATTTCCCTCACATACAATATGTTTATACAAAGCAGCGATTAATTGAGTAAATCGAAAGAAAAAAGGAAACGTAATTTCGATCTCATATCAGAAAATTAATCGTAACTGTCGGCACATTTCAATCTGTTTTTCTTTTTTATTATTACTGTGTGCGTTCTTTTGTGAAAAAAATTATATCTCTTTAGTCATCCACGCACATGAAAAATATAGGAGAGATGTCTTGTTCATTGACACTATTTTTGCATTCTAAGCGTCATTTGCACGTTTTTCGAATCAATAGGTCAACCAAAACCATATTCAAACGAACGTATCGCTGTTTGTCATCGCAGTGATGACCTAATGTTCGTTTTTGATTCGAGAATATGACGTCATTGAATATACTTAATAGTGCTTTAAATATATGTTTCAGCAACTGCATAGTATGCATATTAAATGTACACGTATTTGAGTCCAGAAGGTTTTCGGTCTACAATTCTGTCGCTTGTGTTGAATATTGATTGTAATTGAAATGAACCCCATCGTGGCGTTTCTTTGTATAGGTAGTCTTGGTTTCGTCTTATCAGATATGAAACGTTGAGGTGATGATGTCATTCTTGCTTAATAGCCAATGCCCAATGAAATCAAAGAAAAAAGACGAACAAAAAGTAGCAAAGAAATACAACTGAAATTGTGTATTCTTGGAACGTCGAATGAGAATGCAATATACATAATCAGTTTTATTAGCAATTAAGTAGAAATGTTTTCGAGGAATACGTACCTGTTCGATTGTTATCGAATATTTAGCGGTGAGCTCATTTCCAGTTAAATGAAGTGGAGCAATTTTTTCAGCACGAAATATGAGTGGCATCCGGAATTGGATTTGATTGGTGATTAACTGAAATTGCGGGATACGATATGCTTAGTCATCTAAAAGGAACTAGTGGTATGAAACGCACACTAAATATATCCTTCACATATATTTTCCAGCGAGACAGTCACAATGCTATGTTGACTGGAAAATATATTGTATATAACGTTCAATGGCTTTTGGATGAGTCAAATGGAGTTATTGACGGGACGATGTGTTTTGCAAAGACTGTTGGCGCCATACAAACACTGGCTGATTATAAAACTTTTAAGAACTCTTCACTGTTATGATATAAAGAATAAGAATGAACAATTCACAAGTGTTTAGTGAGGCACATGGTGGAATTGAGTTATCAAACTTAACTTGTCTTTCATATTTTATTCTTGTCTTACCTAGTCTTCCTTCGAGTACATTGGTACTGTTGCAACAATTTTTTTTTATTAAAGCCAAACAACATTGTTGCGCTAGAGTCTCGGATACAAAACAACTTTATTGAAACTGATTTGATGATACATAAAGAAGATTTTCTTACAGTGCAACAGTGAAATATTTTGTGTATGTGTATCTTTGATCTGAATTGGTTTGAATTCAATTACCATTTCACTTCTGATTTCATCAGTATGTCACATCTCTTAATCTAACAAAATTTATATAGGATTCGATTTGATTTATATGTTTGAAATCTTAATTTGATTACATCAAAATAATATCAACAGTTTCTATGACCTTAACATATGATTCAAATTAAACTCAAATTCTAGTTATGTGACATTATCTTAAAATTTTGGAATCATTTTTTTTTTATTTTGGGTACGGACCCATTTTAGTAATTACAATTGATTCTTCGCTAATGAGTGAAGTACCTACTTATGTTGTGCTCTGTCGTTCTTGGGCAAATTCTTTCCTGTTGGTTGCGGCCAATGTGCTCAGCCGGTTTTCTGTCACATTGTTCGCGGCGATGATGATTTCAATGCCAATTTCTTTGTGATCGCTCGTTCTGTTTTAAATTATCAAATTGAATCTAAAATGAGAACGAACACAATTTTAGTTTTTTTTATATGTGAATTCTATTCGAAATCGACATGGGTTTTGACCTTCAATAATCAAAACATCCAGAGAACAAAACTTGATGAATACAAAGCTGAGTCAATTGACGTATTGCGTTATTGGCGCGTTCACAGTATATAATTGCCAAGTTGAATTTGACGCTGTTCCGAAAGGAATTCGGCAAAGTAATCATGTATAGTATTCCGTCAATGAATGAGTAATATTACTTTCCTTTAACTTTCAGAATACATTGATTCAGTTCGGCTCCACCATAAGATTCCCTTCCAACTCAGTCAATATGCTTACATATGTATATGTGAATACAAATTTTTTGAATTGAATGAATTTTGCAAAATTGTCTATATCATTTTCAACCTGGTTCAATGTGTTCGGTAGTAAAACCGTTAATAGAATAGCATTTATTTCTTTTAGGAATGCTATCCCAAATTCCGCTCGGAAAATCCTCAAATGCAATAATAATACGTCAAAAAGCCCGCTGTGTGCAAATAGCTAATCTTTCAGGTCAGCTTTATATGCAGCCAACTTTTGTTCTCTGATTAACATCGAAATAAAACTGCACATATTTACTAATTTCAACGGAAGTATTTAATTAGAACTCAACATGATAATATTATAAAAATTAAACACGGTAGTAATAATGATATTGCAATAAAATTTCTGCACATTCTAGTCTATTGATTTCTAAATTGCATATGGTACAATTAGTTTTCGATTTAATGAAAAGTGCAATCGAAAGCTCTCTTTATTATTGCTATGGTTTTTTTTTTCATATTTCAATCCATCAATTGAATTCTGCTCAAAAAAAACGAATCAATTTTTGTTTGACGGATTTATTTTGTTTTCTTTTTTTATCTTCAGATGAAGTTCTTTGGAAGGGATTCGATTACACAATTTCATTTAGAGTGAAAAACACTGGAAAAATATAAACAGAAAATAAATTTGGAATGAGTGAAATTGGAAATGGTACAAATCATTAATCAACTCTAGGTATAGTCGGCAACAACATCTACTAGTTCCATAGAAAATAGAATAGAAAATCTACTTAACCAAAAACGATTGCGTTTTTTTTTCTTCAATGCAATTGATATTGTCTATCATATAAATAATATTTCATTCAGCATTTTGATAGGTTGATGGTGAATCACTACTGCTTGAATCACCATGGCAAAGAACAATCAAATTCTCACCGCTGCTGGTCGATGGCGAACGAGATGAAGGTTGTAGACACCCGTCGGGTTGATCTAGCGATGCACGACTCGTTGAACTAAAACTGCTTGAGCTGCAATCTTCGCCGTCCATGTTTTGAGAATGAACACCTGCTCGAATGTAATGATCAAAACGAAAACGTGAAAAAAAATAAAATGTCGAAATTATTGAAAAGCATAAAATCAATGCCAATCATAGAAAACATATTAACAAAGAACCACATAAACGAAAAACATTTGACAGAACCTTCATCACAGAAAAACACAGGCACAATGGTTGCAACAAAAGACGTGCACATAGTAATCGAAACATGAAATATGAGATTGTTATTGAAGTTTTAGTTATTTTTCTTTCTAATATAAGACGCAATCAGCATAATTATATTGGGAAAAAGTCATTTATTGAAATATACAAATGACATATAGCTTTGCTATAAATAGAAACTCATCTGAGCTTATTATATTATTATCTGCTGTCGAGAGATAGAATGATGTCGAACATTTTCCTAGCTTTGGTGATTTTGTCAAGTGCAACAAAAATGGTAAAGATATTTTGACTTTTCAATTTGAAATTCGAGCTCAAATCGTTCAATACACAACTTCAAGTGTGTATTTTTTCTAAATTGTATTCTTTTCAATCAAGTTTTTTTCTTCACTTTTTTTTCACAGTGCACTGGATTGGGGATGTGGAGTTTTGACCAACAATTGGTGAACCCAGTTCACACAATTTCGAACCATGGAAATTCAAACGATGAAAATCTGGTATACATCCCAGTTGCAAAGTATCCCGTGAAATATCGAGAATCAACTAATAACGAATATACCAATGAAAATGCCATTCAGAAACCAACGAATAACATCATTACTCCACCCTCAACCGATTTCCGTCACACGCCGCATATGACTAGATCACAGACGGCATCGTACCAATTGCAAAGAGAGAGATACAATCGTCGGCCGGTTCTCACTTCTGCTACAACAACTGTTCGTTCTCATTTTGACTCACCGATTCAGGAATATCTACTTCACGCACAAATGCCGCTACCAAACGCCAAAACATTCATTATGATCAACAGATATGCAAAAGTTGAACCAGAGTTTCTAACATAAAATGACTGTGCGCATAGAAATTATGATGATTCATTTAGTTTTATGTTCGGAATCACATGCAATTGATTCTAATATTATCAAAATGAAAACAGAGTGTGGTGAACCTTAGCACCTTTTTGTAGAGTCCTGTTAGAACATTTCTAGAAAATAAAACCAAGGGAAAAATGTTGTTTTTTTTGTCTTCTTTGCTTTTCATCATGTTCCTCCTTTATTTTTGAAATTCAGTTATATTTTCGAGATAATTTTGTAATAAATTTAGACAAAATTTTGCATTCTCAAATTCTTTTTTTCAATTATAAATGAATTATAAGTTTACCAATACGAATAAAATTCCGTTTTGTCACGTCTGTGAGTATGTTTTTGATTAAAAAATTGCAATTTCAATCCTCTCGTGGTTTGCACATTTAGTAGCTTTTTTCAGATACATTCTCATTTTAAGTTTTGAACATTTTTGTTGTATTTTCAATCAAATAAATATCATTTAATATGATTCCATTCTGCTCTTATTTGGTTTCTTTATAATTCTTCTCATCCACTCTTGGATTTCACGCATGTCACTTCATTTTTCATTCGATTCGATGTTTTCCTTCTTGAAAACATTAACAATAATTAAACTTGCAGACATACACACATCATTTCTAATAATATATATCTTTACAGATTGCATTTCTGGCCTGTTCTGTCTATAAGATTGTTTTCTTCAGCGTATCATCGCAAATAATAAAGTTCATAAGTTTTTTTTTTCGTCAATTGCACAAAAGAAACTCCTAATCGATTGGAGCCAAATTTGTGACTTTTTATTTTTTTTGCTGCTTCGAGCAGATTTTTCGGAATCGTAAAAATTAAAAATAATATTCAAATATATCTAATTGGCTTTTTTCCAAAACAGAGAATTTCTGCACATAGATTTATTCAAATAAATTAAAAATATCAAATAAATTTATCGATATTTTTCATGCGTTACGATGTTCTAACGCATTCGCAGTACAAAATTCATATTCCCTGCCAAGTCAAATTTGAGGCTGATCCCAGCCGAATTCAGCAAAATTGACTTGGCACCCAGAAGAGAATACGAACTTTGTACTGCAGAAGCGTTTGTACACAACGCATGAAAAATATCGATAAATTTATTTGATATTTTTAATTTATTTGAATAAATCTATGTGCAGAAATTCTCTGGTCCTAAATGAAAATGTAAACAAATAATGATGGCATTAAATTCTTTAAGAATTTAAATTACTTCATAGGCGATTGTATTTTGACATGTCACGTATCGCTATCATAAACATTTTTTTTGTGAAAATTTATACAATTTTGTTTTTTTTTATGTTTTTGGTACAGACTTTTTTTTAATACTTTTCGATTTTTGACAAAAGCGAGAGATAGGTCTCAGCTAAAAAAAAATACTACTATTTTGCTACTCACACATGCTTTCCCAATCATTTCGATACCTTTTGTCTCATTTTATTTTTTATCTTATTTTTACATATATAATTTTTTTTTTGTGAATAAATCAGGTGAGGATTTTTCCAATTCAAAAGGAGAAAAAATTGTCATTTCACATTGATTTGAGATCGCAAAATATGAGCGCTTGTTTTATGCATACTACTTTGTTCCTCTGTCTCAATACGACGTAATCAGTTTGATATTTATTAACAATTACGTGCAATGCAAATACAGTGTCACACACATCGAAACAAAAGAAAGTGTCAAAAGTGTGGACACTGGATATAAACATAAACAATACTAAAATATTATAAAAATGAACCCGCTGCGTTTCAAACAAGAATACCGATCAATTTGAACATAAATTTACAGAAAACGGTATATCGACGTATGCATATAAAGATAAATAATAAGTTGAACTTTACAATTTCATTTTTTTCTTTTCAAATTAGAACACCTGCATAAAAATGATATTTGTTTAAAACGTCATTCAAAATATGTTTCTCTTTCTAGCAAAAACATCTATAATCCAATTCCCAACAATTTCATTGATTCACTCTAAATTCATCAGATATTCAAACATAAAGAATATTTGGAAATTGATTAGAAAAATTATTATAGACTTTTCCGTGGGTATACAATCATTTTGAGGCATTGCTGTCGTAGAAAGCAAAGGGGCTATTGTAGGCTTTTAGTAGATAACGATGGGGACTGGGGATGTGTGTATGTGCATAAAATTGAAAAAAAAAACTTCCTATCTGTGCTTGCATCAATGAACGATTCTAACAGAAATGATAGTAGTTTTTATGATGCATTGAATAAATAAATAGAACAATTACAGTGAGCACAATCAGTATTAATTCTTATCTACGTTTTTTGCGAAATTTTTTCTTATTGTTGTTGTTGTTCGCATTGGACTGCTTTTGGGGCTGCTGCTGACTTTGCTCACTGGATTGCGGCTGTGTCGATGAATCGCTTTGGTTCGATTCGTTTGGCAGTGCATCGCTTTTCGACAAATCAACTGCAACATCTGAAGCTGTTGAGCAAATCAAAGGTTGTAACTCCTCATCCTCTTCGTCTACGGTTTTCTCACTGCTTTTTGTGCTCTTGCTCTGTGAAGAATCTTCAGTTTCGTCAGATGAATTGGTGTCACTTGCTCGCATATAAGACTCTGGCTCGTCGATGATGAGCTGGAAACTGTTGCAATCCGAATATTGTGCACCGAAACCGGTTTCAGGGTCATCTGAGAGTTTATCATAGTCGTTGGTGCGTTCTTTTGACCATTCGGGATCATTTTGAAGGCTTTCCAGTGGAATCAAACTGATCTGATCATCAATGGTACTCTTAAAACTCAAATTGTCCAGATCAAGTACCGATTCGCTAGGACACATGAATTCGGTAGATTCATCGACATTTTGTGAATTCAATGCGTCAGTTTCAATAGATTCTCTTGACATTTTTTTCTTTTTACCCGACTTAGATGGTTTTGTTTCACCTGATTCTGGACTGGTTTCGACCTTCTCTTGAAGGGAACACTTTCGAACGGATACAGTGGCCGAAACAGAACTTTTCAAAAGACTCATTTGAATCTTAGAACATTGTGCACCATCAATCTTATCGATATTCTCCATGAGAAATGAACTATCTGCTGAATTTTCGACGCTGCATTTCAACACTTTCGATATAACTTCGCTAGCTGAACAGCCTTTAGCATCGTCAGATGATGATGTGGTAGCCACTGACTGCGAATCATTCTTCTTTTGTTTTTTCTTTTTCGACTTTGTTCCCTCCGAGGCAGTTGCGATCACCTCTTTGTCAACCGATGACTCCTTTGACGAGCTGCTTTCAGCTAAAGATTTCTTTTTTGTTCTGGTGGCTTTTGGGATGCCAAAATCTTCAGACTTTTCGCTGTCGACCGTTTTAGACGTTACACCGGCCAATTCTAATTGCTCATCGTGATCTTTGTCATTTTTTACGCTGCGCTCAGACCTTTTACCAATTTCATCGGATTCGATTGGAGGTTCGGGGATTGGAGGCTTTACTTGTGACTTATTTGCCTTTTTTTTCAACTTAACAGTCACTGTTTCGGTGGAATTGCTATCATTGTTGCTCTTCTTTTCGCTGTCGTTTTTTTTATCATTCATTTCAGTAGTCTTATCTTCTTTCGTTTTTTTAGATAGCATCTTTTCATCCTCTGTTCCACCATTCTTTCCATCGGATGTATTGCCAACCAGTTTTTTCTCTTTCAAATCAATTTTCTCGAGTTCAGCATTTTTATCTTTTCGATTCAAAAGTGACATTTGTTCGAATTTTGCCACATTTTCATCTTGTTGACGTTTTATTTCCAGCACACGTGATTTTTCACGGTTTTGTTGTTCTAGCCGTGAGCTATCAATGACGGGTACAATGAGTTTTTGACCGATGGGTTCCGGTTTCTCTTGTGGCGTATGATTTTCACCATCAATTGAACCGCTTATCACGGCAACATATGGCCTGAACATTGATTCATCGCAATTCTCATGGATATATGCTCCGCTTGAATATTCTTCGGCAAATTCATCGGCGGCCAAAATGCTTTCGCGTGGTGATTCGGTAATTGTTGTTACGGTACCTAAAGGATTGACCACTTTTGCGATCGAAACTGAACTACGCGTACTTGTTGATGCACACGACGACGCTGTACGGTTCGATGTTAAGCCTTTAAGAGAAAAGAAAAGCCAAAGGCAGAGTGTTAAATTCGGTTGGTATCGCTCTTGTTTTCGATTCTTATGAAAAAAAAAAATGGATCATTCGTTCTCAATCGTTCAAACTCTTCACTCGCGTGCTAGTTATTTTAAGTTTTGTTTTTGTTTATAAAACTGGGCAATGTATAGAACGTAAAACTCAATGAGCAACGGTAAAACGGAAAAAGAGTGATGCAAATCAAAAAAGCAAACAAATTACTAACAAAAAAGAATTACTACTGAAGAATATAAAAAAATTACTCAAAAAATTACGTAAATGAAGGAACCGAGTATTAGGTGCGAAAATTTTGATTTGTTGCTGATTTATGGCAATGTATTGAAATATTTGGCGCATTTTTTCAACAGTCTTTAGTTCGGAATAAGCGAAAAAGTCATGCAATTTGGTATTTTGAGTTTATTTTTACGCACACCTTTCTGTGATTCTTATTCACATTTGGGAAAATTGGGTTAAGAACAAGATATTATTGAAAGTCACTCATATAGTTCCTTTTAAAGATAAGGAAATTAATTAAATTAATAACTACAGAAAAGAAAATTAGAAAAGATTAGATCTCAAAATTGGCAGAGGAAAAAAGAAAACAGAAGGATAGATCATGTGTGTTCAGAGAAGTTTTTGTGTCGTGTCTTTTTCACAAGTTCCCGCTTTCGTTTGTTTGTTGATGAGTGGATAGTTTGGTGGTATGTGTGTGTGTGTGGTCGGACGAAACACTTGCCTTTGGCTTTAATGTTCTCCTTAGATTTATCACAATTTCAGAAGATTTTTGATTGATCGACGAGTTTTGTTTGTACAAGGCTGGTTAGTAGCTGTTTTCTTTTTTCAGAATGATTAATCATTTGATAAATTAATGTTTCAAGAAATGGATCGTATAAGCTTAAATTATTCTTAAAATATAAACGTCAATCATAAGATATATGTATATATGATGTAACTAAAAAATTTTCTTCGAAAGAAAACCGAAGCTTCATTTGAACATTTAATCAAAATGGTTGACGTTGTTTTTGGCAACACTTTGTATGTTCTTTTCTTAGCAAATATGCTTTATATTTGCTTCAATAATGTGCGCATTGTACGCATCGTATTAAATTGAAGTTTTTGAAAGGTTTGAATATCATGAAAAAGTTTATTGGTTTATATATAGAATGCCTTTTGTTTAAGGTCACAAAATGAATAATACAGTTCAGTATTTTTCTTATATTCACTTCAATAACGTTAGCGTTAGATTCCAAATTGTTCCAAATAAAAATATTTCCCCCAGTTTGAATGAATTGATTAGTATCTTAAAATAAGTTTAATAGAATGAAAAAAAAGGAACCAAAGATAAGCAAACACATGGAAAACGAAAGGGTATGTAAACAGTGTATGTTCAGTTCAGCCAGATATCTCAAACTATCAATTTACACAACAAATTTCAACTGATATTCCACAATTTTATCATTACCAAATTGATTGAAGTGCCACGAAATTCTAAACCAATCACAAGACAGAACAAAACAAAACCAAACAAAACATCTTAAAATGTGGAATGGCTCACCTGAGTCCCTCGGTGATTCCCGCATTGCATCGGCTAAATCTTCACGTAATTGGGTCTCTGCTGGCATTACCGCTAAATCTTCAGTACTCATGTATTCGTGGTATTGATTCATGAACCGTGGACTCTGTTCAATGCTACCTGTTGGACATACAATACATTAAAATGACATCATGTATGTTCGAACCAAAAGTAATCATCCATTGGCAAAATTAAACATACTGGCTGATCCTGATTCTATGAGCACGGGAACAACACCTCTTCCAAGCGCAATCGATGGAGTTTGCATTGGATTCGACCGGGCTGGTCGATTTGCTGGACAGTTAACACCAATTTCAACTGCTTCACTGTCGATATGTTGTAATGTAGACCTGCGATGGGTTCATTAGTTTCATTATATGATCTTTTGCACATCAATTGACATTTAATTAAAGGAACATACCCGCTAGGTGTGTTATATGTTTTGAAAATGAATTGAGGCCCCATCCAAAGGCGTCTATGGGGTCCGCTTGATGTAATAATTTCCACTTGTGACAGCCAGCGTTCATCGTTATCTGATGCATCACATTCGATGGAGTTGTCTTTCATTTCTAAGCGGTTTTTGAGTAACCAATTGTCTGATGACAGTGGCGGCTGTATCTCAATTGATGTGTCTTTGCGCAAAAGATTCCATTGAGCCTTAGCTTCGACGTACAATTCAATCGGCGAATCATCATTTTGTTTCGATGCTGGTACGCCTGTAAAAGCATATAATTTAATAATGGCGTTTTCGTAAGAATTTTTTTCTAAAGAAATAAGCATTAAAGACACACTCACCTGAACTGTATTTTGGTTCCAGATCATACTGAATCATTGACCCGTGTCCGGCCATTACGAATAGAGAGTCTACAGCATTGCGCGGATTTTTAAGCGCAGGCAAATCTCTTGCTATCGTTAATGGCTGAAGCAACCAATCTCTGGGCCGAGCAAATGTAGCACTGACACGAAATACGTTCCCCGAATCATCGGAAACGGATGATTGGCGTTGGCGTGATGATGAACTGGTGGTTGTGGACGTTGTCGATGGATTGGCAGGCAATAAAGACAATGGTTGGCGTAATTGCTTCAATGGCATAACAACATATGGTCGTGGAAACGGTGGTAATCTAGGATTATGGTATGGATCAGCGCTAACGCTACCATTTTCAGAATGGAAAACAGGACAAATTGGACTGCTGGAGCGGCCATCAGCCGATAAACCAGCCGAACGATGAAAGCGTGATAAGCGATTCACAACTTCAGCAGAACCATGTGTACGAAATGTTGCTGGACCGCCATAGGGTGACACGGGAAACACATGTGTAGTACCACGAGCTGTTGTTATCGCAGCCCAACGTGAATCCAAAGAGAAAATAATATCCTGTACTTTAGCAGTTGTGTCTCCTCTGTGGAGAATATACAAATGATGCACCGATGCCGATGCCGAGCCAGATGGATGTGGATTGATTCGAAACACGTGAAAATCATGACCGCGCTTATCGGCTGTCAAAAGTAATAATCCAGACGCATCAAACGACATACCCGCTATAATATCAGTGTGCGCAACAAAGTGAGCTATTATTGGATCGCTACCGGATACTGTCATTGGTGTTCCCGTTGGACTAGTATCTTTGATCGAATCCTAAAAATGTATTATTCAAAATGATAATTAAATAATTTAAAATGTGGTTTTAAAATGAAAGAGGCTTTTACTAACCTTTATATCCAAAATTGTAACAATTCCGGGATGTAGTTGTTGTTCATTGCCAGCTGATGTTGTACTCACGACACCGACTGTATTCAAATTACCAGTGCCTGTCCCCGTCAGTCCAGCTGCCACTTGTTCGCCCAATTCACGTAATCCCTTGCCGAGCGTTTTGGCCGCATTTAGCACAGTTGCCGTATAGCTGGACACACCGTCACAATCACATCCACCAGCGCTTCGTTTTGATGGGATTACCTTACGTTCGGCGTATGCCAACCATCTTGGGCCGAGGGCAATTGGATTTGGTGATAAACCTGGACTAGGATAGCATGTTGTGATTGTCAATCGATCTTCCAATGTACGAGCATCAAAAACAGCAATCCTTTCCGCAAACGTAACCACAATCGATTGATGATTGGCACCTATTTCCAGAATGGTTGTTTTGAACTTGATGCTTTTAATCTACCGAAAGGGAGAAAAAATTAAATGAACAATTTTATAAAATATAGCAATAACGTCGATTTTGTGTTTAATATTACCGAGTCGCCATTTTTCAATGAAAGGATGTTCATTGTGCAAAATTGTGGACCCGTTGATGAGACCTGTGAACTTTCACAAATCGCCATTAATGGCCTCTTCTCCGAATACGGATCTTCTGCGGGTTCGCTAGCATTTTCGACCGAATAACTGGATATTGGTGTTGGTAGCACTTTCAAGCAGCGAACAACGCCATGCCGCCATGACAAAACTTCGGTCGCTTCACCATTTGCTGGTATTGCCCAGATTTGAATGCCCGTTTTATAGCCCAATATCAAAATTAGCGGCGGCGGAATGCCACTTTCCAGATCATAATCCTCGCCAAAGCTTGGATTGCTAATATCAGCTGTTGTTTCAAAACGCACCCATTGAATTTGCTCTTTTTGATCAATGGGCGGTACACTAGTGAGCGTTACATCATTTATGAATCCAGTAACACTTTCGATTATTGAGCGATCGCTTACTGGTTCCGGTGGCACAATTGTTGGTAACCGTGGTGCACGTTTTGGAGATTCAGCCGACATCTTAAATCAATAATTCCTACCAAACAAAGGGAAAAAAATCAGTCAATGTAGAAATCGTAATGAATAAAAAATGGGAGAGGGGCGGTCCGGAGAATCGTAACGAATACGATTAAAGTCATTTAAAATGCGTGTAGAGCATTTGAATGTTGTACTATACTGGTAATAAATGAAACAATGCTATATCAAACCTTGACTGCTCGAAACAAAGCCTATTTGCGAATTCATTAGTTTAGAGTTCTGAACAAAATTAATACATTTGACGATATCGTGTAGTAGTAGCGCATCAATGCTTATTCTATTACGTGTGAAAATGATTTCAATTTGGATGAAAAACAAAGCCAAAAAAGGCAACGAAATTACTTAAAGTACGATTAACATTGTTTGTAATAAACAAACAAAATAAGTAGTTGATGCACATATGCATTATGTCGTTTTGAACAGATGATTCTACTGCAAATATACACGCGCACTACAAGACAAACACAAACATACTTTTGATTGCCTCTGTTTATACATCTTTTACGTTGAATGCGAACAAAGAAATATTTTTTGTTTTTTTTCCTTCCAAAGCGAAAGTCCCAGCCCCATGGGCCAAAATGTCACTATGTGATTTTCAAACAAGATATAAAATTTCAATTTTAAATCACGATAAACAAGAATAAGCAATATTGAATTCGTGTTAGACAAAAAAAAAATTGAATTATAATTTCTGTCTTGAAAACGGAATTTTACGATTTCTAATGTGAATCGATGTTCGATACACGAAAAAAACACAAACAGCACTAGTACAGTTAGATTTAAAGTGTATTTTGTGAATGTATTCATTTTCACATGGAAGCTATATCAACAGCTGACTTGAATGCGCACACACCAAAGCACAATAAATACATTTAACTCCCTCTTACACAATGAACGTCGAAGCAGAAGCAGAAGAAACTACGACTCGCACAAAAACGAAGTAAAAAAAAGAGAAACAAAGTTCACGTGCAAAAGAGACAGTCGTTGGTGATGTTGGTCGAGATAGAGATATTGGTGATCGAAAAAATGGTTCAATACAAGCAATGTAAAACACTCATACTAATGCTATCACCTACGAACGCAACACCAACTACACAATGGCATTGAAATTGTTGTTGTTGCTTTTACATGTCTTTCTCTTTTGCAAAACGAACTGAGCGATGAGCTCCTGTATATGCTGCTACTGTGACTTTTTCTCTCTCCCTCTCGTTCTGTTTTTTCTTTCAAAACACGAACTTTTCCGTCGATATTCTCCATTGTTTGTGAGCGTTCGAAGTGCACAAATATTTTAACTTATCTCTAACTGAATGATATTTATTTATATGTTTCACTTGTATGTATGAAATGCAAAACAAAATATTTTTATTTATTTGTCGTATTTTCTTGTATTTTTTGCTGTGACATTTGGCTCTCATTTTTTTCACTTTTATTTTTGGATTAATGGTGTTATATACACTATACATACGAGTAAGATACTTCGTTGAATGGAGTTTTATTTATAAAAAAAAAAAAACTTTGACTATGAACCAAGGGAACAAAGCAATTTGTGAAATGCTTGATTATTTTCAATTTCCCTATTGAATTTCAACTTATGTAAATCATTTGTGAATTTATTGGAAAAATAATTCAAAACTAAACAAAGTTTAAAGCCATCATCCACACACACACACACACACGAATTATTATTATATATTGACACTCATTGAGAAATTTTCGATCAAACCAATTAGAAGACGAGAGAAAAAAATACGTTATTTACCTTTTGGTGAAAAGAAACCATTCATGACTAATAACCCATCAACAGTGACGAGGAGCTGTATTCTGCATCCAAAAAGAATTTGTTGGGATTAAGTCGTTCTGGAGACACAACACAAAATTTTCCACAAAATCAAAGCGATGACGTCTATTGTTTTGGTTTTCGATTTTCAATCAATACTAAAATATTAATATAATTAACAAATGGAAAACGTAGTCTTTTTGATTTTGCTGTGTTGTTTGCGTTTATCTGCGCTGACGTGCGTCTCAATTTGAAGGTTTTTCGTGATTTAATAAGATAACTGCGTCATCGTTACACTTTTCTAGCTGCGCTTGTTTTTTTTCTTCGTTGAGTTGTTTATCTCCTCCAAAATTCCGAATCACAAAGTAATATGTGTACGGATCAAGTCATGAAATTTTGATAAAAACACCAATAGAAAGGAACGTGTCGACGATGTTTGTGTGTGATGCAAAAATAAAAAATGAACTAACAAAGAAAAAAACCCTCTAGCTGTACGTTTATTTCCTCTCTACTCAATTCTACACGTATTGTCACTCACTCTGTCAACCAAACAACTGATTCGTTCCGTTTTATTCAGTTCAGCGTTTAGCTCTACAGTTCGATGTTGATATATAGACGTCTCAGTCGCACACAGCTATTGTCGTTTGACTCTTTGCTCCGTCATTTGCTCAGATGGTTGGTGTTTTGCGCAATACTATATGCACAATATTTTTTCTCACTACATATTCACTTGTGTTTGTTGTTGTCATCTATTATATTAAATCACTATTTCGAAGATTTAAAAAAATATATCTCTTAATGCAGATTCAATTTAAATCCTCTACTATTCGAAAAATATTGTTAACTTGCTATTACAAAAAACCAAAATTATCAGATGTTTTTATTTGAATGTATAGATTTTTTTTTTGGAATGCGTAATTGTTCTTCCAAAAGATTTTTTGAACGCAGTTGCAAAATGAGACGTTTCAGTTTTTGGCACTTTCTTTCATCTATTTGAATGATTGAAATGAATTTGGAAAGCAATTGCACTTTTCATTGCTTTAAACCAAATAATTTAATGACTTTTCTATTCTTTCTTTCCGATTATGGTGAAACCCAAACAAAACAACAACAAAAATTGTACTACCAATGGTATTTCTATATGTTTTTTTTTTTTGCTGCGATGAACGAGACAAATATACGTCGCATGTATACGACTGACTCTCTTCGTTGCAATACTCTTTGTTTTGAACGGGGAAAGAAAACAAAAACATTACGACTTAATCATGTGTTTGATAGATATGAACGTATTTGAGTGAAACCTAGCATTCGAATTCGTTTTGAATAAAAAATCGTTGGTTTTAATAAATCTATTGTTATATCATTAATGGCGTAATGCCATCCTCTAAAGTGTTCATCCATTTTCATTGGTTCAGAAATTACCGATATTATTGTTGTGGTGCCATCTAGTGTATTCTTCATCATATTCGATTGTTTACACTGATCGGATTCTTCACATTAATAAAATAATGAAGGAAAACACATATCAGTCAACGATAGTTAAGTTTTCTCGATGAAGAATGAAATAATGACATAAATTTCGAAGGAAAAAAAACTCCTACAATTTTATATAAATTTGTAATAAATCATATTACAATCAATCAAATGTGTCGATTTATTACATTCATTACGTATATATCTGCCACATTGGATATGTCAAAGCAAAGAGATGAACCGCGTACGTTGTAGTATGCAGCTGTCAAAAACGAGCTCGACTTTTCACCTGTCTTTGGTTTTGTCTTAAGTGTTATTTAGAAGCGTATATGTTGGTGTTATTTACCAATCGTAACACTGTGACGCACACATTTACGGCTTCAACGCAACACTACCACATCGTAGCGTTTGGTTGTCATTTATGTGTATTGTATCATGTGCAGACGTCCGGATGGCGTCAACAATGGAAAAACTACGGTTCGTGATATACGCGCGCGTATCGTCTTACTGAAAAAATTGCACAACAACACAGCGTACACGCAGACGAACGAATGTTCGCTACGAAATTACATCAGAACACATACACACACAATAGGGATGTAATACAGATACACCATATCTACCGTCAGTCATCATCTAACGTGCGTTTTCTGAGTTTTTCGCTGTATTCGGTTGGCTATCATGGATTTTCAGTTTCAATACAGCAAGTTGATGATTCCATCCGAAGCGATACATCAGGTTGAAGCGATTGGTCTTGTGTGTAGTACGTAATCGCGCGACTCCGTGATACCAAAAAATACCCATTGAGTTACTTTATGTGTGAGAGTTTATCATTCGCATTAGATAGATGTGCTTTTTTTTGCTGACTTGAAAATAATACAGAGAAGAAAAAACGAACGAACCAACAACAACAGCACCAAGCTGCAGTGGTAATGGCAGAAAGCAGGAACGAAATTTTGTAGGCGATACGCCAATATGGCTGAATGCGCAGTGGTTGTTATTGTATCATTCTCAAAGTGAAAGAGACTAAATCAAACTAATTCTATTGATTTCGTTTGTATTTTTTTTCTTCTGTTTATTGATAGATGAGAATTCGGAAATTGGTGTTTTTGTGTGTGCTTGAATTCATTGAATTAGTGTCACCATTGGTTATATTTTGCGTTCAGACAAATGAATGAATTGTCATTTGTGTTGTGTTGTAACTCGACTGATAATTATTCTACTGAAAAATGGTGCATCCATTCACTTTCACCATTCTAAATGGTCGCCGATCAATTCAAAATAGAATCTAATATAACCGATTTTAAACTAAAAATTATAGAAAATACTAGAAAAGTGAGTGAATCATGAAAACATTCTAGAATAAGTTACTTAAACAAATGAGACGAAAAACTCGACGAAAGGACGAATAATGAATTCCACATTCTGATTGAAGGTCAATGAACAACACAAATTCCATACCAAGTAAAATAAAAATCCGAATGAATAATAACTGAAAGGAAAATTCCAAGAGAAATATCTATTGCAAAAAAGGTGAACGAAGCAGAAAAACTGGTGAAAATGGCGGACCTAACACGTCCACCGTATAGTGATATCAAACGACCCGAAGACGTTCTCAACCCGAGGATGTCAATGACAGATAATCTAAAATTTGCAGTTCTAATTGGACTAATCGAAGTTGGTCAGGTTTCAAATCGTGAGGTGGTAAACACTGTTTTACATTTGGTAAGTTAATTTGAAAAAACCTCAACTTAACCTTACATATTATGGTTTTGTGTCGGCTAAAACTAGTTACCTGTAATTCAGCCGGAAAATTAGAAATAAAAGAATTCGCTTTATTCATTCGACTGTCTGTTCAATGAGCCATTGAAATCTATAGGCGAAAATGCTTTGTTTGCATAAACAAATAAATCATTACACGATAATGCTTCATCTACGGGCCAATGGCCCCTGCACACTTTTTTCAATTCCTATTGATTGAGAAGACAATTTGTTAGTAGTCTTGGATTGAAATCGTTGTATAAAAAATTAAAAAAACTACAGTGAATCAGCTTGTGAGAACGATACACGTTTCAAAAGATAAGAGATTGAGATATAACTAATTTCGACACATACATTTGTGTATATGAAAAAGTGAGAGATTCATTTTATTGATTGAACGAATAAAAAAATGGACCATAAATTGCAATAGCGATAAAAATAATGCGTAAATTATATCAATCGTATGAAAAAAATGAAATGAATAAATTGGAATGGGAAAAATGTGAATCTATTCATATTGATGATACAGAAAATCAACAGAAGTGGCACGTTTACAATTTTAGTAATTTTTCGTGATCGGCTAATTAGTCGATATTCATGGGTTCGTATAAGTGTGTATGTATGTATGTGTATAGGTTGGTTAAATTCCGTTCGTTCAATTAACACACAGGTGGAATGAGAGAGCTAAATGATGGAAAAGCCACAAAAACAACAACAATAGCCAATATTGTCATTGTCATTCGCCACACACAATTGTTATTTTACAATGTAGAATATTTTATACTCACTTTCATCGGCACTTGTCACAATTTTCTATATGTCAGTATACTATAGCAGTGCTCATTGAGCACCGACCACAAATACGTCCATCCATTATCAAATACATGCAAGCTATTCTCATCGACACATACATCTGACGTTTAGTCATAGCTTAACTGTGTTCTATTTTGTTTTATCTTGTTGTGTGTACTAGAGGTTCCGTTGATAGTGTGTACCTCTGCATTTTACCTGTGTACTGAAGTTTATGCGTTTTTATCTTCTCTTTTTCCGTTATATTTGTATGTGTGCGTGTGTGGACAAAAGGCAGGCGTCAAAACAAATGTTTGTGTGCAAAATTAAATGTAAAACTGTTACACTTTGATAGATTACACGATGAACAATTTGATTTCGCCGTCTCCTTTCCACCTGCTATGCGTACGAGTCTTCTGTTACATTTGTACACTTGCCGCAAACAAAGATTGAATGCGACGTGTATTCAATCCCAATACGCATCGATATTGTATGTAGATAGTCGGTGATGTGGTACCTTCGATCTAGAGAGTTTCAGTTCAATAAACAATGCTTTTTTCGCATTATTGTTATCGTGAAAAAGTGATTTAACTAGCATGTTGAGTGTTGCTGAATGGTTGAATTTGGTTGCAAGAAATAAAAAAAAATGTTCTGGCACAGTTGATAGAGAAGTAAATTGGATCAATTTTCAAGGGAAAATAACCAAAAATGACAGAATCAATTGTTCGTTGCTTAAAGTTTTATCATCAGCCGAAATTAAAATAGGCTCACACAGGTTGCAAAAGTTTTCTTTTAAGTATCTATGGAAATTGATTACTTTTTCAAAATAATGGAATGAAATATCTTAATATCACATCATTCAGACAATAAACTTTTCGTGACTAAGCCCGGCTGATGAACATAAAGTTGACATCATTTATTTATTTGGGAGAATGGAAAGTACCGCGCAATTCACGAGTTCCAAAAAGTTAAAGAAGCATTAAAAACTTAGAAGGAATACGCAAAACCCAACGCATCAAACATTCTTCGGTGTTGTCCCAAATCAACAGAAAGAAGTCATGCGAAAACGTATCATTTTTGATTCAGAATTTTTGAGTCTGAGAACACGCTTGGAATGCTGGACAATATTTCGTTGGTTCGCCTAACGAAAATTGAACGTTGATTTTTCATGACAACTTTTCAAGTGCGAAGCATGCGTTGAGAGTCTTAAATTACACGAAATTGGCGTCTATCGTGTGCGGTGTTCGTCTGTTTTCAAACGTGCATACGATAAATATATATTTATTAACAGAATTATGAATAATATACGATACATCACAATAAAGAATGAGATAAGAGCAACAGAAGACGTTGGGGAAATTAAGCGAAGCATATGTAACCTGCTTCATTCTCTCCCTCCTTTGCGCGCTCACTTACTTGTTTCGCTCTTGCCTGATTAGGTAATTCGGTCGCATAGAAACCATATCGCATATTCGAATCATGATGACAAAACAAGACAATATAACAAACTGATCTAATCAGAAGATTTGGTTCGGGTGCTTTACTAACACACAATCGCAAGCAAACAGGCCAAAATACAATGGATATTATATCCCCTCATTCAAAGCTGTATCATTGAATTTTATTCAATATGTACTAGTGATATTGATGTGAGCATACCTGACTTCCAATCTTACTAATCCAATAGATCCATTTATTGGATATCAGTTAATAATAAATTCTGCGCCACATTGTCTATTAATTATAAAGCAATCGAAATTTGGTCATACAAGCACTTTGTGGCAATAAATTTGTGGGTTTCGTGCTAATATGCAAGCAGCAAAATGTTCCAATTTAGCTAATTAACTTTTATTTGAATGCCCGAGAATGAAAACGCAACTTCTATGTGTTACACTTACTACATACCGATGTTACACTTTAAAAAAATCTTTTTTGTTGTTACACTTTGAAAAAATTCGATTTCGTTGTTTCATTTCAATAAATTTTTTATTTTTGTTTCACTTATATGTGTTGTGAATAGAAGTTGCGTTTTCATTCTCGGACATTCATTTAAAGTCATTTGCAGTGAAG